TTATTTCTTATCTATAAATAGTTAAATATAATACTTGTTTAATTTTTAATATTAAAATTTCTTTTCTATTGAATATAATATTCATTTTTTTTTGAATATAACTTAAATATGGAAATAATAATATTAATATCTAACATATTCATTTAGTTTTTTCTTTTTTAATTATAAATCTATCATTGATTATTTATTATCTTGAATAAATCTTATTTGTATAATAAGAGAAAAAAAAAGAAGGCGTTTGTCAATGAACAAGGAATAAGTTGTTTATTTTCCTGAATAAGATAATATCAATATGAATTGAGAATTCTAATTGCGGAAATCAAACTATTTTTCTCTTATCGATTTTTCTATCATCTACCACTGAGATTTATTTTCCTTTATATATGCAAAGGCATCTCTTCATCTCGTTAGTGATATTCTCGTTCCGGCATTCCTTTTTATTTCTATCCATAATGCACACGTTCCTGTATATTTTCAAATGTATAGAAAAGAGATTGACATTGAGAAGAAATTGAAAGGAATATATGTCTGTTGAGGGTGATTTGTCATCAACTTTGCCGTTTTTTTTTTTTTTTTATTAGTTCTCTACTCATTTATGGTCTAAGAAGAGAGAGCGTCAAGGAACGGTCGTTCCGTTTCTTTCAACATTTTTTTTGGTCAATTATTGTACAGTAAATCTAAGCAAAACTTGTCTTTCTTCTATGTTAAATGACGTCCTAAAATGATTGTGTGTGTGTTTTTTTTGCATATGATCACCTTGTCTAGTTTTTTTTTTAAACATTGTCAATGGCGCAAATATGTTCACTGTCCATTAGATCTATGATGAGAGAAGAAACTGCTTAATGATCAATAGTTTTTAGCACATTCAAAGAATGAATGAATGAAAGTGTTATTTTCACCTCCCTTTTTCTTCTTCTTCGTCTTCATTTTCCTTTTTTTTTTTTTTGCATTTACGCAAAGAGAATCAAATAGAATGTCTAGAGAGAAAAAAGAGACGAGAAAAAAAAAGAGAAAGAGAAGAGATGGATGCCTGTCGTGCCTTTGCCACAACTGAGATGAGATGAAACGATTGAATGAATGAATGAATGAATGAATGAAATGTGTGCAGTGCCTATTAATAGTAAACGAGACTGACGTGTCTCATATAACCATGAATAGTTGATATAATAAGACATGAGAACAAATCGAGGTAAGACCTTTTTTTTCGATTTGTTAGATAGTAAAAATGAATTATGTCGTTCTTTTTTTTTTTTTTTTTTATTTGGCCACATGTAGAGTGATTAATTGTTGAGTATTTGAATAAATAAAAAGAAAGTTGTCATATGAAGGCAACTAATAATAAATAGATAGATTATCTGGTATTAATCTAGACTTTTGACTAGAATTAATATTCTTTGTCAGTATTGTTCATATTAAAATAAAATAAGGCGTATCTTGTTTCGTTTTTTTCTTTTTTTTGTTTCTTATAGTTGTACTCAAGTCACGTATTATCTATTATCTATTTCTTTTAATAAACGAAACACGTATGTTTTAACTAGATAAGTTTAAAACGTCGAGTAACATTTATTAAACGATAGTCTTCTTGTTTTCTTTCGTAAGTAAATCAATTTTTCGTTTAGTAAATATATATATATTTGAATGAATAGAATCTTTTTATATTCATTCGAAAAAAAACAACGATCGAATCATAATCATTTAATTAGTCAATATTTAGTTGACTTGAGTATAATATATGATATAGTTACTGTTCTTTATTGATTTTGTGTGTACGTTTTCTTTTTTTTTTTATTTTCATTTATTTAAGGTTTATATAAAATATTTGAAGATTTTTATTTCGTTTTCTTTTTTAAATATATTTATTTGAATATTCTATTTTTAGTTAATGAAATGTTATTCATCTATGTATATTATTTATTTAATTATTGAATCTATGTTTCTATTAGGCTTTTTTTTCTTCATAGAAACAAGAAGTAAGTTTTATTTTATATATATATGAACAAATAGAATTTGTTTGGTATTCGAAAGAGAAAAAAAAAAATTCTTTTTTAATTCTATATGAATATAATTTAGTTGATTTAATATGTTCATTAGTCAATAAAGGTATTTGATTTCATAAAATAAAAAGTTGCAAGGTATTCTATAATTAATGTTTCTATTTGATTTCCGGTAGAAAAAAAAGAAAAGAAAAGCAGTTTTTAGTTTATATTCAAGTTCGAATGGATTTTTTTTCACATGTCCTTTTATATAAAACGCGAAGAAAAAAAAAAAAACACTTTTTTTATTTGCATTTATTTATTTGTATTTAAGATGAAACTTTCTATTTAACATAATCAATTAAGCTTATTCTTGTTAAGATTAACTAAATCTAATGGATTTTTATCGAATATTTGATAAGAAAATAATAATGATAAAGAGAAAAGGTGAATGAAGAATTTATTTTGTTATGTATTTAAAAAGAGAATAGAATACATTTTACTGACATTGACTTTCTTTTTTTCTTTGTAAAATTCTTCATTTAGTAATTTGTCTTTTTTTGATTATGAAAGAAAAAAAATCTTTCTTTGAATACATTCTATTATATTAGTTAAAATAAAATAAAACATTTTAAAAAAAGAATCTATAAATGATTTTTCTTACTACTTGACATTTGATTATGAATTTCTTTTTTTTTTTTTTTTAAATTTAAAATTTAAAAAGAAAAAAAAAAATTCATTATTAATATTTTCAAATAATTTATAATATGAGATGTTTTTTTCGATTCTATATTCATATTTGTTTCTATTTGAAATCTTGATCAATTTTCTTTTATATTTTCAGATAGAAATCAATTTAGCAAATACTGAGAAGAAAACAA